GAGGCGCCATCTTATCTTATATCGGGGTGGGGTTATTTTGGGATTTGTTCTCAGGCTTTCCACTTTTCTTGCCATTTCATTTCTCTTCATGGTTCCTCTGTTCCAACATTATCTCTGCATTTCTTTCCAGCTATGGTGGGAAAAGAATGGGGGATTAGATCAATTCTGGATGGGCTTCCTCCCCTTACTGCATCCTTATCTTCAGTGAACAGCTGCTTAAAATCTTCATTCATGCACAGAATGAGTACATAGTTGAGTTCTTTTTTTTCTCCCAACCTTTTACAGGTCACCAGTATGGAACAGCAAATCGCCGAGTCCAACCTGGGGGAGCGAAATACAGCAACAGGTTTCAACAGCCAAGGTAGTTTCCATCATTCCCCGTGTGGGCGTTCAAGATAAATCCCTACCTTTTTCCTTATCCATCAGAATGACCATCTGAAGAGTCTCAGGCAAAATATCAGCTGATTCCTGAAGGAATCATTCCATTTAATGTTCTATCCCCCAAACTAAGAAGAACCAGTTCAATCATTATTATTTTTAATTGGATTGCAAGAAAACTTAGTTGGTCTTCTTGTCCCTTCCTCAGGTGAACTCTTATGGAAATTCACTGGCAAACCTAGCTACTGACACCCTATTTTCCTAGTTGTGAGTGGGGTGGGGAACCCCAACCTAAGACCCGTTTCCACCCGCTGTGATGTGGAGGCATTGATGGGCGTCACCCATGCCAGCTTCACATGTATTTTGAGAACTTTGTCTTGACAAGCAGAGACTTCTCCCATCTCAGCAAACGAAGGGGGAAATGAATGAATTTCTCCCCACTGCAGATGACTCTAGATTCTGTTCAAAGGAACAGTGGTTGAAACATTCACTGCCAAAATTAGCATGAAAAGAAAGCATCAACTGTTCTTCTAAAATACTGTATTTACTCCAAAGGAGGATGACCCTCAATTAACATGGATCTCCACTTCCATTTATACACAAAAGAAAATTAAATAGCAAAAACTCATCTGTCTTCATTGCCATATTCTCAGGGTATCTAATGCAGTTGCTCCCCCCCCCTCACATTTTAACATTAAATTACTTGTGGGAGGAGGCGGGTTCTCCTTTCTGATCAATAGAGTTTCATTTGCCATTTTACAATTTCAGAAGATAAGGAGGCTTTCAAGGTGCTCCCTTCTCCATTTAAGGAACGAGAAAATGAGGCGTGCACACCCCTGAACCAAAAGAGAGGAATTACATTGTAAATCTAAATACAGAAATGCATTTACTGGTCATGAATGTAGGGAACTAACGAAGGGAAGGTCACCGTAGAATTTGTGAAAGTGGGCAGGGTCTGAGTTGAGAGAACCTTTGCTCCCCTCTCAGAATAGGGTTCCTCACCCCCTCTGCAATGGATTGTTATAGATCGAGGGTTGCCCCCTGCCCAAAAGCCCAATTCATTGAGAAGTTGCATCTCCACAAGGTGATGCATGGTGTCCAGGAGTTAAGATCACATTTAAAAGGGCATAGCGTAAAGGAGAGCCATTAGCTGGTGAATGAAACCTGCGGTGCAGAGGATCGCTGGCTATTCAGTGGTAGGACAAAGAATAAGGAAGGGTTCTCGCCCTGTTCCTTGTTGCCTATTTCACTGAACGTTCGCATTTGGAGGTAGCGTATTCAGAATTCCCCCTTTTTTTCCAGCCTTGGCAGATGGCGCTTCCCAGATGGCCGCCGAAGTTGTTCCTCTCCCCAGTCGTCACAGGTACTCCTCTGAAGACTTTTGTTCTCTGGATCTCCAAGAACCTTTCCTGTCCTCTGACTTCTTTCCAGGTGGTCTTGTAGGAAGAGGGGCAAGAAACAGAAGTTGCTCCAGCCTGAACCAGACTTGCTTGCAGGACTATCCAGACGATGAGGTCAGTGGCCGCAGCCAGACCTCTGTGGACCAGCCCTGTAGCAGGACTTGCTCTCATAGTCGGCTCTCGGACTGTTCCTCAGAGAGCGTTGGTGTCTCTGAGAGAGACTCTTTTGGCTTGGTCAGAGAAGACAAGGCCACCCCCTCATCCAAGCCACTGAAAATGTGCTGTGGGGTCTTCAGCCAGCCAGCTGTGCCACAGACTCCCCGCACCCACTGCTCAGTGCCTGTAAACAGTTTGCCCCACAGCTGCCTCAAGAGGACGGCCCAACAGCGGGCAAGAAAAACCGCCATTTCCAACATTGTCCGATCCACTAGTGACCCTTTGTCCTGTTCAGCTACCACAGAAGGTAAGGAGTGTTTAGGAATGGGTGCAGCTCCCTCCGTGTCATGACTTCTGTCTGTCGCCTATCATTTTTTTAAAAACTTAACTCATTGCTATCCCAACACCACCACCAAGAAGACCCTGTCTCACATATTTATACATAGTGATGATGGCAGAGCCTATAGGACTTTTCAGGTCTTAAAGCCCAGAATGGTTCATCTGGGAGTAAAGACTTTCCATTTTCTTAACATGTTTATTCTTCTTATAATGCAAGGAGCTCAGGTCAGTGTTCATGATTCCTCTCCCGCAATCCTCTTGTCCAGTAACCCTTTGAGAGACAGTGAGATGGTCATTGGATTAAACCAAGGAATGGTTGACCAGTAATTCACATCATCTCCTCACTATTGGCCAGGCAGTGTAGGTATGGGTAGGGTTAGGGTTGGAGCTAGGACTGGCATTGCTGAACACTGGAATGCCAGCGTCACCCACATCTGTCCTAGAATAAGATGTCAAGAAACACTGAGAATTGTCAGATAGTGGATGTAGGACAATTTTTTAAAAATGCTCCCAAATTACTCATGCAGAATATACTGAAGAAGAGGCAAAAGGGGTCTCTCCCAGACTCTGGCATCAGTGCACCTAACAGGACGAAGCACATATGAAACATGCAGAGTTCTTTCATGGACAATCATGTCTAGGGCTTAGGCCTTGATGGTGCACTTGGGAAAGATCTTCTCAGAAGAGGAGGGAATTACCTCTTTGGTTGGTGACACCATCATTTTAGGACTCATGAGTATTACAAGCTGGGCAACATCTCTATGGTGATTTTGTCACCATAAAAGTCCTTACATAGCCAGGTGTCCCTTCTCCACTCCCTGTGATGACCACGGTGTGACTTCACTTGGTGTATGTCCAGCTGAGCTACCATTTTAAAGCTCCTTTTCTCCCCCTTCCCCTCCATCCCCCCCTTTTAGTTCCTCTGCCTAGTCCTCATGTGGCTGCCTCTACTTGCCAGGACTCCAGGAACCATCTTGTGCCAACCGGAAAACCAAGGGACCCCCCAAAAGCCGAACTTTCCCAGAAGTCAAAGGTCATACTGAGCATCTGCAAAGAGCGGCCCCATTCCTTGGTGGACCTACAGGCCTACAAGGACACTAAGATCCTGGTGGCCAAATTTTTGGAACACTCGAACTGCAACTTTCCCCCAGAAGTGCGCCACGTGGTCAACAGCATCCGGTCTGTCATCAAGTCTGATGAGCGGCACATGGAGGAAGCCATCTTTAGCGCCAACATCATTGATCAGGTAGGTGTCCTTTCTGGGTGATTTGGGTGGATCAAGTTGGATGAAGAAGAGATGAACCAGCATGCCCTAAATGGCCAAGTTCACACAACAGACAACATTATAACGTGGCATTGTTGATTCTTTTGCAAAGCTTATTGTGTGATCCAGAGCTGAGATCAGCTCCTGGGAAACAGCAACAGAAGGGATGAAATTATGGCAGTCACAGCTAATTCCCACCCTTGGTTACCAATGAGCACAGGAAGATAAAAGCTCTTCTCAGTCCTGCTTGCAAGTGCCTCCCAACTCCATTTGTCAGTAATCTTGGAAAAGGGAACCCTCCAAGTCTCCTGGCATGTCAACTCCCAGTATTCCCAGCCAGAACAGTCTTTGCAGAGTTGATGAAAGTTGGTCTATTTTAAGAGGTGCTGACCTATTTGCCTCCCCCAAAGTTCTGCATGCAGCCCCAGCAATACTCCAGAAGTTGCCTCTGAATTGTAGTTTTTAATGTGAGAGCTGGAGAAAATAATAAAATGCTCAGGGAGCAGTCACAGTGGCTGTATTTAATCAATGTAATTAGTTCCAGTTAAATTAAATTAGGTTTTGTTCTGTCTCTGATCACAAAAGTTCATCCCTGGTCCCCCAAAAGATTGTGCATGCATTCTCTCTCTCTCCCTCTCTCTCTCAGACAATTTAGTTTCTCATATATTCCATATGCCAACTTGGGTCTCAACTGATGGAATTATAAGAAGAAACAAATACAATCAAACCAAATTGGGAGATAAAAGGATTTCTTGTGTGAAGGTCTAGAAATCCAAAAGCTCTGATGTGTCTTAGAGGAGACACCCTTCTTCCAAAGACAAGTGGTGGGTTTCTGAGGGTGCTAAAGCAAAGCTGAGATACTTATCTAGACTAGATGCTTTAATGTGGATTCTTGTACATTTTGAAACTGCCTCCATTTTTTTGGAGCCATAGATTTGCACCTGAGCTCAGCTGGGTGGACTTTGTATTCTGGTATTGGAAACAACCAAGTAGATCTCACAAGCCTAAAGTTTGCCACCTCAAACTCCATCCTAAGATGTCTTCTTCTCAACAGAAGAATAACTTCACCATTTCCCTTACCTTGCCCTCTTTTCCACAGGTCATCATGAGTTCCCAGCAGAATGTGGATACCTCAAGAAAGCGACTTCAGGAAGACCTCCACCTCCAGAGCTGTGGAGCTCTAAGCTCTCCTGTTGCCTTCTTACGCAGGGGCCACATTACCCATGCCTTTGAGAGAGGAAGACCCCACAGTTTAATTGAAGTGTGCCGAGAGACCATCCTTTGACAATAGGCTTTTGCTCCACTGAGGAATATAAACTCTACAAAAGAGACTCTGAGGAACTGGGCAATGGAAGGAGATTCATCTCCCTCGGTGGTTGTCTTTGAAGAAACAAAAGGAAACTCAATCAGTGTCTCTGAAAGAGTCTTCCTTTGAAGAGGTCCATGCCAGATCTTTATTCCCAGGGGCTGAGCACCCAACACGTCATGACTATATATTCAACCAAGACTCTTTTGTGAAAAAAACCCAAGTTGCTTATTATTTAACAATGAAACAAACAAAAAAACCCACTGAAGCGTATCTTTTTCTCCTCCTACCAAGGAATTTGATTTTCTAAGTTCTAATGGGTATGTCTGGGGAGGAAGGGAGACTGGGGTGGGGTGGGGTGAGGTGGGGTGGGGGAAGGGAATTAACTTTCTTGCTCAGCTGCAGTGATCCTTCTGTACAACGTAGGAGTTGCATTTTAATCACTGTACCTCAAAAGTGTTCTCACCAATTCTGAACAGTGTTTTCATAATTAAAAAGGTATTTCTGGAGATTATAGTCTTCCAGAACAAATTTTGTGCAGCAATAGATAAACCTGTCTCTCCCTCTCTCTCTCTCTCTCTCTTGTTACTGGAGGATTACTTGAGTTGAGAAGAACAAGAAGTTCAAAACTGAGAATGGGATTTCCAATTCCTGATTCCAACATAGCCACTAGCATTGTATTTTGTTTGGGGTTTATATAATTCCCCCCCCCTTTTTTTAGCAACCTCCATTTGGTGGATTTTAGGAAACCCAGGTTCAAGCTCACCATCAGGGAATGAAGCTCACTGAGGACTTTGAACTGGTTGCACTCTCTCAGCCAACATGATTGGGTAGTTCTTGAGAAAAGTGGAAGAAAAGGGTGTTGTGTACATTACCTTCAGCTTCTGAAGGAAATGCAGGATGTACATCTAACCAATTCCTTTGTTGCTTCTAGAAGGAACTGCAGACTGACTCTTACCCTGCTTACCTAGGGCCCTTTCTTGCAGCACCACTCTACATTTCACTGTAATTCTCTTGAGGAAAACCATGTAAACATCTCCATTTGGCAGGGTGGTTTTCTAGGGTGCAGGTGACCCACTGAAGGTGTTCCACTGTAAGCTTCACCACCAGGATCTTTGGGGGTGTCACCTTTTATATTTATGGGTCATCTTATTGGCTACTAGAGACCAACGCTCCCTGATACATTTTGAAAGAACCTCATTTTCAAAGAAATGGCTACTCTGTAAAAGGACCCTTTTCAAAAATTACAAATAAGGAGTTTCCCTTCTATAAATCGGGGAAAAAGAGTTCCTGAAGTGCACTTTTTCTCTTGGAAATGCACTCAAAATGCATCACACGATTGCCTATTTTTATCAGTTTATGGGTGGAATTTGTATGTAAAGGTAAAGACCCCCCCTTACGTCGAGTTGGACTTCTTGTGCCTTGAAGCGCACATTCACGTAGTTTTCTCACCAAGATTATGGAAGAGGCTGCCTGTTGCTTTCTTCCAGGATTTGTTTGCCTACAACCCCAGAATTGTTTGGTGGTCTCCTATCCAAATAATAATTAGATCGAACTCTACATAGCATTTTGAGAACAGCCAAGGCCAGTTATGGGCTGTCACTAGACTGGATTCTTTTGTGTGACTAATTTTAGAATTTGGCAACCATCACGGCTAGTTGTTCTTTTTATGTTCCTATACCTGTTTTCAGCCTTGGATGATTCTACTAGGAAATTACAGCGCAGGGGTTGTCTGTTGTCTTCTGCATTTCTTGTATACACTAGAAAGTCAGAGGTGTACATTTTCTTATATACGCTAGATAGAAATAGGATGTTTTCTACAATTTTGTTGCAACCATCTTTGGAGTTTGTTTTTTTTACAACAACCAAGTCTCCAGAATTTTGGTTTTAGTCATGTGAAACATTTAGGTCATAATGTTCTTGCACCCACATGTCCAATTTGCATTGGTTTTAGTTATTGCTAATTAATATTTGTATTATTTATGCTCCCTAGAATTGATCTTGTTTTTCTACGTGAAAAAAGAGATTCAAGGCAGTTAGCAGGAACAAAAAGTAATAAGCAAATTAATTAAGATACCAATTATTTTATACATATGTAAAAATCATCCTTGTAAGCTTCCTTCAAACTCTCAAGTGGAAAGGCCATCACATCCATTCTTCCACTAGCATTGTTCCACACTATAAATTATTCCATTGAATTGAAAAGACCACAAATATGTCTATCTTTGATTTCACCCCACCCCATATTTCTCATCAAGGTAGGTATATAGAACAAGTGAGTGAAAACACAACTTATAATGCTCCATAATGTCTGGCTAAGCTGGCTGGAAATTATAGAAGGTGAAGTCTAACCCACATGGTTTCCCTCCTCCCTCTCCCCCCATCCACAGCAGGAACTTCAAAGGTTTGAAGAGAAGAATAGTCTATCAGACTTCCAGCAAACCACCATCTTTGGAAAATGCTTTTTGACCTTTTTAGCACGAAGCTACAGTGACCTCCAGTGGAACACCAAGGAAGTTGACAACAATTGGGTTGACCACAAACTGGTGCTCCCCAGAAGTTTACAAGATCAATTTCTGGTGGATAGAAGAAAGGCCAAGCAATGAATTTCTCTGCAGCAAGACCTTGTCCTTCTCAAAGAAGTTGTGTGTGCCCATCTTCCAACAAGTTCCGTTGAAGAAGACTGAGGCTAAACACCATCAGCCTTGGCTCAGTGGTCTGCAAAACAACCAAGAGAAGCTGCACTGTTTTATTACTCCAAATTTATTAATGAGTATAGATTAATTCTCTCCTAGGGTCACTTGCATGCAACAGAGCTCTACGGTGTTATTCCTTGAAGTACAGTAATCCTATGGTTTTTGTTACTGTATGGTAAGGCTTCTTTCGTCACAGTGTCATTTTTCTTCAAGGCCATGGACAACAGGAGAGAGGAAGGAGGAAAAAAATCAAGACAAAAGAGTTACATCAGTTGACATTTATCTCGTAATGAACACAACATTATACTATTCCTTGGTTTATCATTGCCACAAATCTCTAATACTGCTGATGGCAAAGACTTTGCATTCGTAGTCACTGTTTACATTCAGACAAGTTGGCTCAGGAGAATAAAAGACAAACAGAACAATATTAAACATTTTTATATAAAAAAGTCGTATTTAAGCATGGCTTTCCGAGAGTGAACTTAAGTTCAACTAAAGGGTGATATGGAAGGTGGTGGGACAATAAAAGAGGACCCACTTCCTGGTGGTAAAGGCTACTTGCAAAACAGTATTTTCATCGTTAAAAATGTTCAGTCTCCAAAACATAAATGTACCTCATCTAAATAAATATTCCACATTTGCATTGCAAAAGTTCTTTCGCTTTTTCTGGCGGTGGTCTTTTTAATTCCAAAAAAGCGTTTCTTCCATATCACTCACTCTGAAACCCCTTGTTCTTCCTAGTTCACATACAAACCACGTCTCATCAAAAGTCACAATACACTTGTCAATGACAACAGCAGGGTGTTTTTTTTTTATAGCAATGAACACTCTCCCCCCCCCAACCTCCCCCTATCACCCCCTTTAAAACTGCTCCCATTCTCAGTCATTGCAA